TGTGTGAGTGTGTCCTTTCCTTCTTTTGAATAGCAGTGGCCAAAAAAAAGTTGGCATTTCAACAGTTCCACTTTCTGGATGTGTTTATATCTTACTGAATCTACCATATCTGCTGCAATCAAAATGTTAGCACTACTGCAGAAACAGAAAAAGAATTAGCACTACCATAGAAACAGAAAAAGGAAAAAACAAAAAAATATTTCATTTATCCTACCCTTTATTCACTAAACTACATAAAATATTGATGCTGATTATTAGTATAAAGTAGCCACTTATTTTCACAGAGCACAGAAAGACTTTTAAATGTAGCAACTAAAAATCTATATACATAAAAGCCTAAGCAACCGTTCGACCATTCAACCAGTAGCTATGATGCACACTGACCACCAGGGGGTAGACACTCAATGCACAGGCATGGAAACATGGAACAGACTGATGAATCTCAGAGGGAAGGAAGGGGGTAAAGAGGAAGGAAGGAAGAGATTAACCAAAGGTCTTATATGCATATATACTACCGGCCCAGAGCACAGATTCATACACCGGTGGGGTCCCTTGGCCTGGCCTGTGGGGATCGGGCCAAAACGGGCAATCCAACATCCCCCAAGGGGTCCCAGATTGCGGGAGGACACAGACCAGGCTGAGGGACCCCCAGGGCCACTAGTAAGTACATAAAAATGTGGCCCTGTTGGTGTGGGTCAAGTGGTTGAACGTCCATCCATGAACCAGGAGGTCACCAATTCGATTCTCTGTCAAAGTACATGTCCGGGTTGTAGGCTCAATTCCTAGTAGGGGGCTTGCAGGAGGGAGCCAATCGTTGTTTCTCTCTTTCCATCCTTTTCCCTTCCTATCTCTCTAAAATCAATAAAAACATTTGAAAAAATAAATGAATGAATGAAAATGTGACCCTAACCAGTCTGGGCCTGCGGACTGAAGGGTCCCAGGTTCGATTCCAGTCTAGAGCATGGACCTTGATTTTGGGTACATTCCCAGTGGGGGGCAGGAGGCAGCTGACCGATGTTTCTCTCTCAACGATGTTTCTAATTCTCTATCCCTCTCCCTTCCTCTCTGTAAAAAATCAATAAAATGTATTTTTTTAAAAATGTGAAAGATTGGTTTCCCTTCTCCCAGTCTCTCAGCTCATGATGCCTCTCTGTGCAGGAGTTGCCTGCAGAGCTGAGATGGCTTTAAAACTGCCAGCCAGTGTCAGGAAAATTGGGTGCTGTTATCAGGTAGCTGGGGTTATAATTAGCCCAGTTGCTAGGGGAAAACTGAGATTCTGTAGGCATGGACTGCCAGAAGCAGCTTTCCCCTGCTGGTTGAACTGACTCCTTTGCAGGAACAAAGTGGATAGGGATGGAGTGTTTTCATGTGTTTTTAGAGGATTGCTAGAAGGCCTAGGACAGTGGTCGGCAAACTCATTAGTCAACAGAGCCAAATCTCAACAGTACAATGATTGAAATTTCTTTTGAAAGCCAAATTTTTTAAACTTAAACTATATAGGTAGGTACATTGTTTTTAACTTAATTAGGGTACTCCTAAGGCTTAGGAAGAGCCACACTCAAGGGGCCAAAGAGCCACATGTGGCTCGCAAGCCGCAGTTTGCCGACCACGGGCCTAGGATGATCTGTCTAGAATACAGGACAGAGGTCCAAAAAGAATTAAAAAATTACAAAAAGAGGATAAATGGCAAAAAATACAGTGATACAGTATGATGAGCATTTAATTAGAGAGAAGAATGGTACAAAAGCAGTATGAGAATATATAATAGCTGAGAATGTCCAAAAACAAATGAAGACTTCAAGAAACCTCAAATACCAAAATGAAAAAAGTGTACCAAAACAACACAATATAAAAAAAACTATAAATTAATAACAAAAACAAAAAAGAAAATCTGCACAAATACTTAGAAATTTTAAAGAATCTCTCAAGCCCTGACAAATCAAAGGGGAGATCAGAGCTACAAGTGAAAACCACTCAGAAAATAAAGCTAATAAGAATAATATCCAAACTGAAAGGAAAACACCGTAAGTCATGTTAAGAGAAAAAAATCACCAGCCTTAAGCAGTTTATTTTTTCGTTTAGTAATTAAAGAAAATGAATGAACCAAACATTACTCCAAAAGCTGAAAAGGACATCCACAAAAATTTCTACAGGTCACATGATACAAACAGTGAGTTTAGCAAGATTGCAGAGTACAAGGCAAACATACAAAAATAAATCATAGCTTTATAATCGGAAAGCAGTTTTTAAAAGTGTATTATTTCTGCCCTAGCCGGTTTGGCTCAGTGGATGGAGTGTCAGCCTGTGGACTGAAGGTTTGATTCCAGTCAATGGAACATACCCAGGTTGTGGGCTCAATCAATGATCAGGAGGCGGGGAAAACCAAGATGGCGGCATAGGTTAACGCCGGAGTTTGCTGCCTCAAACAACCACTTTTAAAATACAACTAAAAGACGGAACGGACATCTCCCAGAACCACAGGAACGCT